TGTCCGCCAGGCCATTGTCAAAGCACCCGTGGCTGCAGCACCCGGCGGACAATCGGCTCGGCTGCCGGGTTGCCGAGTCGCCGGGCCGCCGGATACCGGGAGGAAAAATATGGCATTTTCTTACTTATTTTTTCAGGCTGTTTTCGCATTTTTTTGCGACCAAAAAGTTCCCAATTTCTCTCGTGCCGTTGGTAGAATTGAGCACGCCTGTGGAGTGCCCTGCACAGGGTGGTAAGCAACCTTTAATCCGTGTCGGGATACCACACCGATCCGGCGCTTCTACGGCGCTTCAAGCGTCCGGCCGCACCCCCGAAGACGCCAGACTGCGCTGAGGTGCCGCGAGCCCTAGTTGTGGCCACAGCTTCGCTTTTCGGCCCCTCTTCTGACCTCCAGGTTGTACATAAACATGTATTCAAACGACTAAAATTTAATTCACTTTTTTGAGCCAAAACGCAGGCAAAAGCGGCTAAACAAGGCCCAGTTATTCCTCGATTCTACGCCGATGCAAAATGAGGAGAAACTGGTGCAAAACCAAAATGGTCTAAAACACAGTAAAACTGGCGGAAAACTGAGTTTTGCCTTTGGTTTTTTTCAAGTGAAAACCGGAGAAAGTTGGGGCCTTGTTCAATCAGTTTTGGCCAATTTTACACTGGAAAAAAGCGCACTTACTACCCAGTGCTGTACAGTGCGGTGACCCGGCTTAGATGCACAGTGAGCCAGACCCTGTCTGTCTCTCAATGTACATGTCCTCGTCAGGAACCAAATGTTTACCATGGCACAGCAGCATTGATCCCGAAGCCTGAACACACAATCCTCCCTTCGTCAGGTGCACTATAGGCATAAGCTGATTTCAGATCACCTGAAATGTCCCGGTCAACCCATCAGAACTGTTTCATTTTCGGGGATTAACCATAGCTTTCTGGTGCCCCCAAATGATAGATTTGCTACCACTTTCATAGCCATTTGCGATGCAAGAAAATGATAAATTTCATGTAGCTTGAAATGAACCTGAAATGACTCACTATGGTTACATTTCAGTACAGCAAAGAGTTGATGTTTCAGGGGACTTTGTGGTGCATTTCAAGACATCTGAAAGAACATATGTAGGAATCATTTCCACCTCATGTTTGCAATGAGGAAAGGTCCGGGCGAGGAAAGCTTTTGATGGTCCTGAAATTGCCATTTATGATGACTTTTGAAACTATTTTATAAGCTAGAAGATTTTTACTTGAGATAAGACAGAAATATCCCAGAAATGTACTACAAATCTGCTGTAAATGGCAATTTCAGGACCATCAAA